AGCCACCGGTTCTTGAATTTCGCTTTGATGTACAAGTGATTTGGATTACAAGCATGTTTTTGGAATGAATTATGCCCACAAACCGAGGTTTTACTCTAATCTAACAAGGGTTATAAATTCATAATCTGATAGTGGTAACACATGAAAGGTAAAGTCACAGCCCCAGGTAGCATGGAAATGTTAAGTAGGGGACACAGATCACAGTAATGGAGAGGTGGAGGGTGTGGCTCTCGCTAAGGATCACGCTGGTCAGTGACCTTCATAAAGAGACGAGGGATGAGAAAGAATGAAGAGATAAGTGAAGTTGGAAAAACATGAAAGGAAAAGCAAAAAAATGTCAGGATAGGAAAACCTAGGGCAGGACAAGAAGTAAACCCATCTGGCTTGTGGGGAGGACCGTACAGAAAAGTAACAAGCAGTAACACTGCAGTGTTTCTTGATGGCACCATATGACAGAGCATCTTGAATGCTTGGACCAGAGTCACTGGAAGCTTTTGAGCAAGTGTAGCATAGTAACTATTTTAAATAAAACACTTGGGTGACAGTGATCAGGATAGATTGTAGTGGGGAGACAGTAGGCAAGGAGAGAGACCAGGGAAAGTATTTCTCTATTTGCTGATTTTAATAGGGAAATTTAAATGTTGTTCAAAAATTTTCTGGTTTCCTCTGTTTGCAAACTAACTATACTTTACGGATCTTTATACTGTATATTTTGAACACTAAGATTTCAGGCTAAAATTCAACTGCCTTGAATAACAAAGAGCTACACTGCTTAATGAATGGATGCCCTAAGCCTCTGACCATTTGTCCTAGGACAGGCTGATGAAGGTGACACCAGAGTAAGTGGGGAGCTGCATGGAGGGAGAGGGTTGTGCAAAATGAGTACATGAAAGTCTGCTCACCTTTAAGCTCTGGACTCTTGGGACTCAAGGTCAATCTTACAGTAAAATAGATGTGAAAATGGACACTGGCCTGTATGCCCCATGGCCTTCAGAAAACCAGTATAAGGAGGATAGAAAAAAAAAGTTGGACAGTTAATGAAATGCAGTATTCTATACTGTTATCATTGAACCATCTGTTACTTCATTTAGCAGAAAAGTGAGTGTATTTACTATAAAGAGACTTGGCATTTTAAGCCTATATAAGAAATAAGAAGACACCCTGAAATACATCCTTTGGGTAACTAGACATCTGCTTGGAGAGATGGGACTAGTGAGGCTGTGTTAAGACAGATATGTCTTATTCTTAATCCTACCAGTTGGCTAAGGAACCTGAGCTCAAAACTGAGGCCCTCTCAGTTTGAGGAATAGGGTGTGACCTCATTCCTAAGTGGCAAGAAAATCAAAAAGGAAGGAAGGCAGACAAAGAAGTGGCAAGGGACATTAGAATTTCAGAAAGCAACTACCTAAACTCTGGAGTAATTGGCCTTACATTACTTCTGTGATCCAGGAAGTGGCTACAGGATAGCCACTGTGATGATGGGATGGTTGAGGAGAGGAAGTCAAGAGCATGAGTGGGGGTGGGGGACAATGGGCACAGTGGCATGGGATTGATGACCTTGCAATGGGTAGGAATCTTTTCCTGTGAAGAATATTTTGTGAGACAAACTAATTGAAATTTTAGAAGTTATCAAAAATTATACCTTTGTTTACATTTTAAACTACTAGAAACAGGTATAAATTAAACGCTTAAAAAAAAAGAAAACAAATCTCATTATTATTATGTCAAGGCTCTGTTCCCATGAGAAAACTTAGGGACAGTGTAAAGAATCATTATTATGATTCTTTCTTAGGAATCATGGTAATTGCTTTAAATAAGTTTCTGTTTTAGTACTCTATAGTTTGTGTTAATAATTGCTAGCTTAATTGCAGGTTACATTTGCATAATACTTCATTCTTTTATCAAAACACTTTCCCATGTATTCTCTCATCTCAGTATCCCAATATCTAAAGCTCAGAGAGAAATTCTGTTTCTCAGTTTAGAGACCCAGAATTCTGAAACTCAGTTTGATGTTAATCAGTACTGTCTTTTATAGAGTGATTAAACATAAAGGAACATGCTATGCTCCTTATATGTATTATCTCATTTAGTCTTCATGATTAAACCATGAGATTGTTAACATCTCTATTTCCTCTGGTTCTAAAATACTACAAGCTGAGATTTGATTGATTCCTAAGTCTGTGATTTTAAAATCACTACAATTTACTCAAGATGTCACTTACCTAAGCTCACTGAGCTAGTGTGACAGAAGAGGAAATAGGAATAATCTATTTGTTCTTAATTTTCCCATCCAACCCTAATGGAGAATTTTTACATAATAAATGATCAATCTTTTAAAAAATCATCGCACATTGATTTTTAAAGTATATATTTAAATAGTTTGTGTAAAGAATTCTTATGTTTTTTTTGGAAATTCTAAAGATTTAAATGTTTTAAGCAACCCATTTATCATTCCTTCATATATTTAGCAGAACTCATTAGGTTGAAAAATTACATAGAAATCGTTAGAATTAAAATAAAGTTAGTGAGCAGTTTTGCATTGAAATATGGGTGTTCAGTTCAATTCAGTGAGTTAATTTTGAGTGTTTAGTATTTATAATGTGCTTCAGTCTACACAAAGACATGTTGGCAGTATCCCTCTCTGAAGAAATTTTCAGTCCTTCTTTAAAGGATTATGTTTAATAGATCTGAATATTATTGAAACATATTATTGAGATTCCTAAGTATGATTTCTGTTCTTCTTTGGAGGAAGGAATGGGAGGGGAAAGAGGAAGAAATGGTTGTGTGCAGATTGAGGTATGTACTCATAAAACTGTAAGACAAAAAATAATCTAACAGGTACTACGAGAGAGAAAAACAAATACTTTTGGAGGAGCATGAGAAGGGAACCGTCTTATCATCTTGGAATGGAAGGGGAATCAGCAAAGGCCTCAAGACATAGATGATGTTTAAGATGAGCCTTAGTGGATGGATAGAAATCCAAAGTGCATATGAGGGCAGGACATTCACACACAAAAGTATAGTGTCAATGAAAACAGAGGTGTAGTTTTTCTTATACGTACTGTGCGTGTAGATTAATAAAAAGGCACAAGGCGGAAAACAGACTTTGTTGTAGAAGGTCTTGAATACTAGGATGAGGTCTTTAAGAGCAAATGCAGTGAAGTGAAAGACAAATAGTGGGCTGGAGGTAGGAGATATATGTGCAAATTTCAGCGGTGGCATTTATGAATTGAGTGAACTTGGGCAAATCAGTTAATCTCTTTGAGCAATATGGATGTAATAATAATTAGTAATAATTAAAGGTTGAGTGTAAATTTAAAATCTTGTGTGGAAATACTGTGAAAACTGTAAAGCACAACAGGAGTCATTGGGCCATGGTTGTCATCATATTGTTATGTATATAGTGGGATGTGAAAATTTTGGAGGAGTGAAGCTTTTCATCTGGATCTGTAGTCTAGAAGAATTAAGTTGGCAGGAGTGTAGCAGAAGGATTAATAACAGCAAAAGAAAGAACCAGTGAAGAAGCTATTAAAGTAATTCAGGTTAAAAGTAGTGAAGTTGTGATTAGTATGGTAGAGATATTGAAGAGATACTGTCCCAATTTGGCCTTCATCCAAAAATATACTGAGCACCCACTCTGTTCCTTGACACTAACTCAGCATTCCTGCATAACTACCTCAAAAGAGACAACATGGATAGATACAGGATAGAATTGGCCAAGACTTGGGGAGCAGAGTTAAGAGGAGAGAAGGACATAGAGGGTCACTGGATCTTCCTTTGCTTTCCACTGGAAACACCTTGGTAACAGCACAATGGAGAAGGGACATCTCAAATGCATATGAGCTTAACCCACCTACAGAACAGGTGTTAGGGTGGGTGAGAGATGTTAATAAGGTCAATAAATACTTCCCCGGGTGGGTTTGACTCTGTCTGCTCCCAGTGTGGGTCTGCACTATCTAAGGTATTGAAGGAGGAGAGTTACCAAAACAAAACAAAACAAAACAAAACGCACAAGACCATCCTTAAGAATGTCTTTGACTTGAAAAACCTGACAGAATCCCTTTTTCCCAAGCGAGGTGAGAAAATGTCTTCAACTAAAAAGAATTTCTCACTTTGCTTAAAACAGATCAACTACTGTTTCTATGCTTGCTTGGGTTTGAAGGTGGAAGGAAAAAAAAAACGGGTTAAAACCCTACTTGTAAACACCGAGTAAGTTTCCTGGTGATCAGAAATTGATTGAATTTAATTGTACAATCACTTAGTGACTGCACATCCCTTCCAGGAGGTGGAACTGGAGGAGAAAACTATAAGTGAATAAACAACCGTTCTCTCTCACACAGTGCAGTGTACGTGTGTGTCAAAACACATACCACAGAGGACTGTGCATTGAGCTGAAGTTGTATTCTTAACACTGTTATAAAAATGGCAAGATACTTACTTCTCTCTCTATTTCATACATGTGATACGTTTTTTTACTTCTCCATGAAGGAAATTTTTATGAAGACCAAAGTGATTTGTGGGGCTTATTGAAAACTCATACTAATATTAGTTTTGAACAAAATAAAAAAGTCCTCTAATAATGACCCTAAAGTCAGAAGTACTTTGTACATTCCTTCAGAAACACCCTGTGAAATTTTGTGGGATCAAGTCCAAGAGAAGCAGCCCCCTTTGTACAGCATTTTCCATAGAGCTTTTACTACTGGGTTGTCCCTTTACTCGGGAGCTTAAATGAAGTAAAAAATAGGACAGCCTTGCAGATCTTTTTAAGATATAAAGGGAGCATGGGGATAGCCATGGAACCAAGAATTGGTAAAATTAGGAAAAGAAATCATGAAAGTGGGTCTCACATCCTTTTTTAAAAAATCCCTTTCATTCTTTATTCATCTCTTGTTCATTCCTGTCCCTTCCATGTATTAAGGCAGGCTCATATAGCTGTTTTATATGCTACTGACTTTAAATAATCTCTGTATTACAAAGCTGTGTTTTTTCCCTCTCTTTAGGAGATGACCTGGCTCCCACCACTTTCTGCTGTTCAAGCACCTGGCAAAGTGGAACCAAGCAAATTTCCATTTCCAAATAAGGTGAGATCTTGCAACACTCAGGAGGAATATGCTTTACTCACACAGAGATTTTTAGTGGATAGTGGATTTTCCCTTGGTTGTTTTTTCCTCTGTAAATATTCCTGCCAGAGGCATATGGCTTTGATTTTCAACAATTTGCAAGCATGTATTTATTCATCAAAAGGAGAAAATTAAGCTTTGACTTCCATACTTTCTGCAAAATGTGATGCATATTATAATTGTCATTTTATCTAAAAACATTTGTGAAATTGAAATGCATCTTAACAATCATTTTATACATTCAGTGTGATTGTGTCTTTTTTTTCTCCTGAAAAGCTATTATTAAATTGATGATGTATCTTAAAATCAATGTCTTAGAATTGAAGACATGTAGTATATCATTGCTCTTGGGGATCTTTTGTAAACCTTAAAATATTTTCTAGGACTTTAAAAGACAAATTTCCATATTTTCTAAGGACAAGCACACACTCAAAAAATCAGCCACAATATATCTACTTAAATTACATGTGAGTCTAATAGGTTTTATTTTCTATTCTTCACCATACAACTAACACTTAACTACATATTCATAAATATAAAATTATGCAAGTAGAAGCAAAATATAAAAGTGTCCAATACCCTCATCCAGATTTTATTTCCCTACCCAGAGTTTACTCTCAAGAGTTTGGTGTGTACCCTTTTAGCCATCTTTGCTGTGCATTATATACATATATGTGCATATGCAGTTTTAAAAAACTCTTAAGTGGTATAGTTCTACAAACATTTCTTCTAAGAGTTTTTCAGATACCTTGAATGCATATCATTGCTAAATACCAACATTGCAACTTTTTACAGTGAATTATTAAAATAACATTTCATTATAATTATCACAGTGGTAAATTCCATTCTAAGAGCTGACTTTCATTTCCCTTAACAAAGTGTATTTGGAGATCTTTCCAAGTAAATACATGGAAATGTTCTTCATTATTTAATAGCAGCACAATCTTTTGTCATATGAACTGTAGTTTATTTGGTCAAGCTCCTTTTGATGGATATTGAAATTGTTTATGGTTTGTTGTTATCACAAGCATTAGCACAACCAACATTTTTTGTAATGTCTCTTGTATATCTCTTATTAAATATCTCTAGTACAGATATCTAGAATAGGAATTGGGTGCTGGAAAAATGAGAAACCATATTTAGCTTTGACTGTGTTTCAATAGTACTTTTTATGCATCTTGCCAACGTTTAACATTATCTGGTTTTATATCATTGTGTCTGTAGTGTGGGTGAAAAACTGATATCCCATTGTTTTAATTTGCATTTCTCCAATTACTTTGAAGTTTGAGCATTGACCGTTTTTCCTTTACAAATTGCCCATTTGTATCCATTACCAATTTTAAAAAATGATTTATAGGAACTCCTTATATCTTATTCATTTGTCTGTTATATATGATGCAACTATTTTCTTACAACCTTATTTATGTACCTTTTATACTAGTAAAGTGTTTAATTTTTATGTCAGAGAAAAGTTATTTCCTGCTCCAACATTCTAACAGTGTTCTCTGTTTTATTCTCATTTTTTATAGTTTCGTTTTTGGATTTTAAAAAAGTTTTTGTGGTTGGTATAACATAGGATTCTAGCTTTCTTCTTTTCAGTGGTTAGGAAATCATTGTTACACTACCAACTAATTAGTCCATGTCCCCCCTACCCCCACCACTGGTTTGAAATGCCACCTATGTCAACAATTGAATTTGTTTCAGGACTGTCCATTTGTTTTTGTTTTTGTTTTTGTTTTTCAGTATATTTCTTTAATTCTTTCCCAATAACTTATTTTTAAATCAGAGGTTGACAAGCTTTTTCTGTAAAGGATAACATTGTAAACAGTTTAGGCTTTGCAGACAATACCTAAATGAATGAATGTGGCTATGTTCAAATAAAATTTTATTTACTGAAACAGGTAGTGACACAATATATAAAGAACTCTTACAACCCACCAATGAAAAGATAACTCATTTTAAGAATGGGCAAAGGATTTAAATAGCCATTTCTCCCAAGAAGATCTACAAATGCCTGATTAAGTATATGAAAAGACACTATTGCTACTGTTAATCATTAGAGATACAAATCAGAACCATGGGAGATACTCTTTCGTGTCTACTTAAATGGCTAAAATCAGGGGCACCTTGGTGGCTCAGTTGGTTGAGTGTCTGACTTTGGCTCATGTCATTATTTCGCAGTTTGCGAGTTCAAGCCCTACATTGGGGTCGCTGCTGTCAGCGCAGAGCCCAATTTAGATCCTCTGTCCCCCTCTCTCTGCCCCTGTCCTGCTTGCTCTCGCTCTCTCTCTCTCTCTCCCTCTCTCTCAAAAATAAATAAAACATTAAAAAAAACTAAGAGCTACGGACACCTGGGTGGCTCAGTCAGTTGAGCATCCAGCTTCGGCTCCCGTCATGATCTCACAGGCTCTGTGCTAAGAGCTCAGAGCTTGGAGCCTGCTTCGGATTCTGTGTCTCCCTCTCTCTCTGCCCCTCCCCTGCTCACACTCTGTCTCTCTCGCTCTTAAAAATAAATAAAAAATAAAAAAATTAAGAGCCTATTAAATGGCTAAAATCAAAGGCAAACAAACAATAATCAGTGTTGGCAAGAGTATTGAGAAACTGGAACTCTGTTATCAATTGCTGGTAGGATCTAAAAAGAAGCAGCCTCTTTGAAAGACACTTTAACAGTTCCTCAAAAGTTTAACATCAGGTTATCATATGATCCAGCAATTCCACTCCTGGGTATCTATTCAAGAGAATTGAAAAGGAATGCTACTGGATTATATATATATCTGTTTACTGAACTCCTTTTCATTCTGCTAGATTTTTTTTTTTTTTGGTAGACTTATATTTTCCAAGTGGGGAGAAACAGAATATGTAGCAGTAAAATACATAACATGTTAGATTATGATGTATAGTGAAAGGAAGATAATGGATGCTGATGGTGAATGGGGGTGGATGAATATTAAATAGCTTAAGAGAGACCATCCTAAGGAGGTGACACTTGAGCTGAAGGAAGAGAAGGAGTGAGTCACACAGACAAGTCGAGGAAGGGAGTTCTGGGCAGATGGAAGTGAAAGTGCCTGCATGCTGGAGGGACCACAGGGCCACTGGGGTCAGGGCAGAGCAACCCAGGCAAGGAACAGTAAGTGACACAGTGAGGTAAATGCAGTCACATTATGCTGGGACAGTATGGCCACTAAAAGATTTGGGGCTTTACATGAAATAAAAAGCTGTTAAGAGTTTTGCAAATAACAAATGCGTTCCATTTTATCCTTCTTATTGTGTCGGCTGAAGTCTATACATTTTTTTGTCATATTCATGACATTAATAAGGATTATTCTAATCATTGAGTATAATTGTTAACAGTGAGTATAAGAATTGCGTATTATAGGTCCAGCTGAGGTAGCTTCCTTCTATTTCTAGCTTTCTGAACATTTAATTTTTTTTCATGTTTAAAACTTAAGGTACAATTCACAAGTAGCAAATTTACTCTTTTTTAGTATCCTGCAGGTTTTGAGACCACCACACTCAAGGTACAGAAGCATTTCATCGCCACCCAAAACTCCCCCTTGATACTCTCTAGTCAACACCTGCTGTACCCCAATCCCTAGCAATTGCTAATCTGTTTTCCAGAGTATATATGAATAGAACAAGTTTGAATTTAGTTGAAATTTATTCAGTATTTATTGAGATGTTCATAATTTTTTTTAATCTGCTAATATAGAAAATTACATTAATAGATTCTCTAATTTTTTTAATCACCTGTATATTCCTATTATTATCTTCCTTGACTATGGTGTATTGTTCATTTGATACACTTTTGGATTCAATATGCCAATATTTAATTTAGGAATGTTACTCCTGTGTTCATAAGTGATCTTGGTCTAGTTATCTTTTTGTGTATGTTTGTTCAGTTTTGACATCAGGAATATAACTGCCTTCTATAATGAATTCTTTAGCTTTCTACCTTTTTCTGTATTCTGGGATAGTTTAAATAACATGCCAGTTTCCCCCTCCTTAAAGGCGTGAAGTAACTCAACCGTAAGACATACTGTACATAATTTTCTTTTAAGAGTAGATCTCGAATTATATTTTCATTTTCTTGTATGCCTATTGGCTTTTTCAAATTTTCTACCTCTTCTTCGGTTAATCTTTCTTTGTTCCTTTTTTTTCCTCCTTTAGGGTTTTCAAACATATACATAATATCCTGTGTTTCTAGTAACTGCCTTTTAATGTTTAATACATTAACCTATTTAAACTTATTTTTATCAACACCTACAATTAACTTATATCCATATTCTACCCCCAAATATAAAACAATTAGTTTTAGTTTGGTCTTCCCTCACCATCATTTCTCAGTTTGAGATTACCGTATTTCAAATTGTCATTATTAGAACCATTTTCCAGCATTACACCTTAACAATTATTTGTTAGCTCCTTAATTGGTCCTTAATTGGTCATTGTTTCTTGTGTCTCAAGTCTTTTTTTTTTTTTAACATTTGCTTATTGTTTTGCTAGAGTGTATTTTTTAGCAGGTTTTTAGTCCAGACTTGATCTAAAGTCTCTGATAGTCCTTTTCTGCACTTAGCTTCAATCCTTACACTTCTCCTCTTTGTTTGATCATTCCATCAATAATATCGTCTAGGCCTCTTGCCTTAAATACTCTCCATGCCAAGCATATGACTTGTAAATTTATTTCTCTAGACCTTTCTCTGTGCCCCAAACTCCATACTTGTATTTGTACGAACTTACACAACATCTTCGCTTGGATACCTAACAAATAGCTTAAGCTTGATATATTAAAAACTGAGCTCTCAATCCCCCCCACAAACCTTTGATCCCAGTGCTTCTCAGTAAGTGATTTCTCCATTTTTGCAGCTGGCTCAAGCCAAAAACCTTAGAGTCATCTGTATTTGTTTTCTAAGACACCTGTAACAAAATACACAAAGTGAGCAGCTTAAAGTAAAAGAAATTTA